TAAAAAATTTTTCATCTAGTTTAAAGAACCAAAAATATAGGTTAAAAATGAAATTTTTTTTTTTGTTATTATAAACTTTCACTTTAAAGGACGAAGTAAAGAAGGTTAAAAATTATAACTTTTAACATATTAANCGAAATAAAGAAGGTTAAAAATTATAACTTTTAACATATTAAAAATCAAATCAGTAATAATTTGAAAACAAATTTTTTTTTTCTTTTAATTATTATTTTATATGTAATTAGTAATAATATAAAAAATTAGAAGTGATAGCAAAAGTTTAATTGAAGATTTGAAAACAACGCGAAAAGTTGATATAGAAAAGTATATTTTTGCTTCTGATGAAAATCCCTTGTAGTCCAGTACTTTTTTTTATAGTAACAAACAGTTTTTATTGAAAAATATTGTATCAAGCCCTTTAAATTTTTATACTCGAAAAAGTAAAGCAAAATATAACTTCATTATTATTTTTATAATTTCTCCGTATAAATTAAAATATTAAATTATTGAATATCAATTTCATACTAAATTTTATAATTATAATTAGTATTTATTCATATATTATATTTTAAAATCAAAGAACTACTACTCAGGATATAATCAAAGAAATAAGAGTTGATGTTGCTTTTGGAATAATCCACGAATTTCTCTAAATGAAACACTATCTACAGATTCGCATCGAAGCGTTTTTATGATAGTGATTTAAATCACTGTCAGATATCATCTATACTTATCCCATCTATGACTCGTCTACACTGTGCCTCGACCACACTGTTCTATCGTTTTTTTTATTATTAATTGTATCCTATTTATAATCGTAGTACCCTGAATAAACAGTTTTAAACAATCCTATTTAGATTGTTAGTTTTATTAAAACAGCAAAACTATAAATCTGACTATAATTTTACATAAGACTAATATTTTAGAAAATTTAACTTAACATATTTTTTTTTACGAAACATTTTGTTGTAAGATGATTATTTTGAAAATTAAGATTGATTTACATTCAAAAAATGAATTTTAGCAAATTATTTTTTTATTTTATTTTTTGAGTAAGTAAAAATAATTTAGAAAATTTTTATAAATACCATTTTAGAAGAAAATATTAAAATCTATAATTTATATTCTAAACATTGTTATGCTAAGTGTGTTAGTTTTAAAAATATTAATCAAAAATTGAAAAATTACCTTTTTGAGCGAATTTTTAACCCCGATTTGGACCTGAAGGGGGTAAGTTATCAAAAACAAATTTTACACAAATAACTTTTATTGCCATTTGAAAGAATAAAGTTGATACACTTACAAGTTATAAGGGATGAACCTAAAACGAATTTAATAATGAATTGATCCATATTTATCAGTTATTACCAACGACTCTCAAACTAAAAATAAATAAAATGATACTTTTTATTATTATTAATTGTATAATAATTTATTTTAAGTATTCGTTAATTATCATCTTATTATAATTAATTGTGTCTTAATAAAAATTTAGATAGAACTAATCGAATATTTTTTGAAACTATTCGATAGTTTAAGCTAAAAACACACTATTCGGTTGTATAAAAACAATTCGAATAGTTAATCGACAGTTTAAAATATTCGAAAATGCCCATTACTAATAATAATATCCTTTCGTAAATCTTATTCTTAATAATATCAATGGTAATATTACTATAAAGTATATTACTCTATAGACTAAACTGTTGCTTTATTATGTTCTTGTGATAACAGGTATTTTGAACATTATCAAGGTTTAATATCATAAAATTATTGATTACCGGCAGGTGAAACCTATAATGAAAATAGACTGGTTTAGCAACTATTCATTTTGATACATATGTAAGACCGTCATCAGATTAGCATTTATTATTGTATACATAATCAAAAAAACAGTGTAGGTTTTTGTTTAATTAGTATGATTTCGACTTCTATTGCTGTCACCAGTTGTACATTTTAAATATTGTTTTTTCAAAGTGTAGTGTCTTATTGAATTTAATTCCTTGAATTTTATTTTAAATAATTAATAGAAACAAGATAAAAAAACAACTATTTTATAATGGTAAGTTTTGTTTGATTTTTTATGTAATATTTTTATTATTTAATCTATATTTTATACTTCAAATAAAAAATCTAAAATTTAAACATTTTTTAAAGTATTAATTACTAGGTGTCTGTAATGCCATTTACTCTCTATGTTTATAATATGCTATAGTTATATATGTATACAAATTATATCATAATTTTGTTCCAAGAAATGAGGTTTTATATACTGTAAATTTAAAGTGATGTGCTAAAAAATATTTAAGATTCAATTTATGGGAAAACCATTTTGGGATGTCACAGCTTTTATGAGCTTTCTAATATTTCTGTCACTACTTGCAAAAAGTTTATTTACGGTTAATTTCTTTTATATATTTTATGTTACTTTGGTCATTTACAAAAATATGAAATCAAAAATCTTTATTTTGTGACATATTTAATGTATAATTATAAAATTTCAGACTTTTGGCATGGTTGGGTTTATTATTCATTATATCATCATAGATAGGATAAGTTTTATCTTATCTGTATTTTTATTATAATTATAATTATAATACAATTGCTATTATTATATTGGATTTATTATTTATTTATACCAAATAGTTTTAAACAATACTTAGTTTTTTAGTTTTAGTTGGTAAAAAGGTGGGCAAGAACTGCCTATGCACTCAGACCTATAGATCCATTATATGCATCACCTACCAAAATTATAGTTATTTGTTTTTATCACTGAAATGTAAATAACACAAATATATATTTTTTCAGGGTTTATTCAAGTGTTGCTTCAATATTGGTCTTTATTTTGCTGCATTAATTGGATTTTTGGCATTAATACCTCTGCCACCATTTAATAGTACATTTACTAAATATAGGTACTAATTATTTTTATTAGAGAAATAATTAACAAATAAGTTATAGAAGTTTAGAAGTTTTAAATAAAGTATGAAAAAATATTAATCCCTAGTGCCATCAGTGGTTGCCTTCTTTTCAAATTTTTTCTGCTTTCTAAAATGTATATCTGTTATCACAAATTCATTTATTATTATTTAATCATATTAGCCTCTAAAACTATGATCAGTATTAATAAGATTAATAGTATGATACTAGGTCAGATTAAGAATTATATGTACATTGAGAAGGGCCCTCTCAATGGAAAATATTGCTACCATAAAAAAGTGATTAGAAAAATAAACTGTATGTCTGTAATCATGATAGGTTAGCAAAATTTGTGATTGGTCGTTCACCCTCTCGCCCATCAAATTATGATAGTCTGAAAAGTATAGCATAATATAGAAAAACTGTATTAACATCAATATGTTTTATTTCTGTATCATAAAATTTAATTATTCATGCCAAGCCTACGCAAATAATTGTGAAATAAATATTCACAATTTAGTTTTTTTTTTATTTTGTAGTGTTGTACCAGCTAAACCCTTAACAGGATCATTGGCATTAAATGAAAAACTATCAGGAGCAAAAAAACTTTTTGAAAATCAATTGAAAGGACCAGAAGGATTAGCATATCATGAAGGATTCTTATATACAACAATTCATGGTGGCCACGTAGTAAAAATATATGATGATAAAATTATTCCAGTTATGAAATTTGGAAAATTATGTGGTGCGTACCAAAGTAAAATTTTCATTTATGGTAAAAAGTAAAGACCATATAAAGATTTTTTTTTCAACATCTAAAACAAAATCTAACTGAGTATGGTTCTTTTATGATACAATGCAAAAACCAGACATATCTTCCTTTTCCTAGAATTAACTTAAAACTTACATAAAACTAAAAATATTTTTCAGAAATTATATCATATTAACTATTTTCAATTAAATATTTCATTAGTCTATATTTTTAAAAACTTTAAACATAACAAAGTTAAGTACAATCGGGATACAGCGTAGTAGAAATGAAAAATATTATTAGATTAGTATTGATTGATACCTGACAGTGATTAAAATCACTGTCATAGACTCCTTCTACATGTTTATTCGGATAGCAATGAATCAGGTCTTCTAAAATTTTGTTAAACTTTTCCCCAATATTGATTCAAAATGATAAAAATTAAACTATTTTATGAATGTGTTAAAGCTTTCATGGATATATCCTCAAGCACTTCAAGCGATAAAAATTAAGTTCTACAAAATTTAGTCAAGATTGGATTGAAAATTTAACCCAAATTTGGTTAATTTTCTAGTATTTTTTTTTCTTTTTAAAATATATCTGTTATGATAAAAGTGATTAGATGACAGTATGTTTATAAAGTTATTTGCTATAAAAAAAAAGGTTATTACAAGTTTCATTGTAAATAACTTGCTTTAACAGAAAAAAAAAGTTCTAAAGATTATCACTATGTAAGGTGTATGAAAAGTGTTGATAATAGGATGCTATTGAGTGATAATTATGTGAATAAAGGTGGAAAGAGTATTTTGAAAAATTAGTGAATGAGGAGAATCCAAAAGAGACATTAGAGGATATCTCATTGAACGCGAGACTTGTAGATTTAATTAGTAAGAAAGAGGTATGGTAGGCTGTGGCATCAATTAAAAAGATTAAAGCAGTATAAACACCCGATAAAATGCTAGTAGAAGTATGGAAAATATTAGGCGGTGTTGACATAAGGTGGTTGGAAGATCTTTTAAAAAAATCTTTTTAGAAAGAAACACCCAAATGAATGGAAGAATAGTATTGTTGTGCCGATATTTAAAGGTAAAGGAGACATACAGGAGTGTGGAAATTATAGAGGCATAAAGCTTATGAGTAATAGTATGAAAATTTATGAAAAGGTAATAGATAAGAGAATAAGAAATGAGACATCAATATCCAAAAACCAGTTTGGATTTATGCCTGGTAAGTCAACAATTTAGTCATTATTTTGTGTGAGGTAACTAATAAAAAAGTTTAGGGAAAGAAGAAAAATCTGTGTATGGTATTTATAGATTTGGAGAAAGTGTATGACAAAGTTCCGAGAGAGGTTTTAAGTGGGCATTAATGAGAAAAAGAGTACATTATTATAATGGAGGATATGTATGATGGCAGGGTAAAAAGTGTGGGAGGAGTAACAGAAAGTTTTAGGGTAAAAGTAGGTTCTGCTTTAAGCCCTTAATTATTTTCTATAGTAATTAATGAAATTACTAGAGAAATACTAGGAGAGGTGCTGTGATGCATGTTGTTTGCTGACGATATAGTGTTAATACGAGAAAATTAATCAAAGGCTAGAGGTGTGGAGGTTAGCTCTTAAAGAAAAGGGTTTAAGAATAAGTAGAAGTAAGACAGAGTATATAGAGTATGAGTTTAACAAAGGAGAACACGAGGTAGGTGAAATGAGGAGGTCAGTGACAATAGGCCAGGACGTGATTGGAGAGGTGGAGAGCTTTAAGTATTTAGGGTCAGTTGTGCAAAAGAGTGGTGCTATTGACGAGGATGTAAGACACAGAATTAAGTGCGGGTGGTTGAAGTGGAGAGAAGCATCTAGCGTCTTATGCAATAAAAGAATTCCAATGAAGCTAAAAGGTAAATTCTACAAGACTGTAGTGAGACCAGCTATGATGTATGGTTCAAAGTGTTGGCGGTTGATAAGAAATTAGAGCAGAAAATGAGTGTAGCAGAGAAGAGAATGCTTAGATGGATGAGTGGAGTGACTAGAGAAGATTGGATAAGGAACGAGCATATAAGTGGAAGTATAGGTTTAGCGTCAAACGTGGATAAGATGAGACAAAATAGATTTAGATGGTTTAGTCATGTTATGAGAAGAGAGGAATTGGAAGCTGTAAGAACAGTTATAGAAATCAATGTTGAAGGACGAAGAGGTAGAGGAAGACCAAAAACAAATTGATTGTGTGAAGAGGAAGTTTAGGATAAGGGTAGCTGACATCAAGTAGTTGGGATGAAAGCAAGGAAAAAGAATAAGAAGAGAAAGATGTTTCATTTAAAAGTTGTTTGCTATTCGTTTTTCTAAATTTGTATATCATATATTTTTTTATTACTCACTTTTTAGCTTCGATGCGAAGCTGAGAAGGTTTTACTAAGATGTGTTTTTTTTTTTTTTTAATTATTTTTTTTTGTGTTTGTTACCACTTTTTCTCAGCTCTCACCGAACTGACTTCTTTCAATGATTCGTCAAAAGATCACAGATCGTACATAGTCGAAGACATTACCCTTAAAAATTGAAAAAAATTCCCTCGTTTCCCGTAAATGTGGGAAACCTCCAAAAAAATTACAAATTTAAAAATCGCTTATTTTCGAAATTTTTTCAATTTTTTTTACTTAAAATTGTAATAACTTTTTTAAAAATAACCAAATCAATATAATTTTTTTTTATATAGATGCATGATATCATTACCTTTCATTTGGTTTTTTTTTTTTTATATCTGAATCTTTACCTGCCCACACGGGGGGATTTAAAATGACAACTTTTTCAAAAAAAATTTATTTTTTCAACATAAATTTTGAAAGTGTTCCGGAAAGTCTGACACTTATATATATCTTAAATTAAAGCTAATGTAATTTACTTTATTATGCAAAAAAAAAATTTCGGACTTTATTTTGTCTTCACGGTGAAAATGGCTACTGAATGCTATTATTATGTAAAAATTCTCGACTTTATTTTTTACATTTTTAATTTTATAATGGTATGACATATTGAAAAGTGTTTGGATCAACATTATTTTTTTATGAGAAATAATATTTTTTAATAATCCCTTTTTCATTCGACATACTTTATCTTAATCAGGATATTAATAAGGAACTAGCAGATCATGTAGCTTTTGGAATAATCCACCAATTTTTTAAAATTAAACACTATCTAAAGATTTACATCGAAGCATTTTTTTTTTGATAGTGATTTTAATCACTGTCAGATATCATTATACTTGAACCATCTATGCCACTTCACCACTGTGCCGTAACCCCCCTGTGCTGTTTTTTTTTTAAATATATTTTCTAAATTACATAAATTTTAAGTCAAAATATATATTTTCGAATAAAAAATTAGATGGTATTGGTTCTTTTTTTAAATACATCAATGCAAGTATAGATGACAGTGATTAAAATCACTATTAAAAGCAACGTTTCGATGTAAATCTGTAGATAATGTTTCATTCTAAGAAATTGGTGGAGAATTACAAAATTATAAATTATAGACATTTTATCTCCCAAGGTAGTTTCTGGAGCAGCTAGAAAATCTCCTGGCCCCTTCCGGTATTCATTACGATTTGTGATTGAAAAACAGTTTTTAAGAGACACGGCATTTACTTGATGGGAGTCCATAAAGTTGAAAAACATGTCCTGGCGCCCATTCTCAAGGAAGTTTCTCATGGCGTTCGATAACAGCATCCAAGCAGAGCTGAAGAACGACCTTATTTTTCACAAAGTTATGGCAGTTTCATGTATTAAAAAACCTAGCTTCAAAAGTTAACTTTTAGTGCAAAAATTGTCATTTTAGATTCACCTCTGTGGACAGGTAAAAGGTCATGTTTTCAAAAAAAAAAAAAATTACCCTGTATAAATGACTATGTTAAAATGTGAAAATATGAATTTCACGTATAAAGGGAAATGATTCGATTAAAAAATAGTATGTCGGATGAAAGAGAAATATATAAAGTATTTTTAAAAAAAGTTGTATTGATTGATATTTTTTTCATATATATTTCAAATGCCCATTGACGAATACATTGTAATGTAGATATGTACAAGGTATGAACTAGTCATTGATATTTTGAATACATAACTCGTGCTGAAGTGTGAGTCCAATTTAGCCTTTTTTCTAATATTTAATTACCCCATCTAGAGGTCGGTCTGACCTAGTTGGTAGAAATGTATGTTTCGTCACACAGGGTCACGGGTTCCCCATGGTGCCAACAAATCTTTTCTTATGATTTTCTCATTGGTGGTGTCTGGTCTTTGATACAAGCCGGTTATAATACCAGCTCTGTCCATCATTGGCATAGCCAAAAACTATCTTTGACTCCCTAACATGTAAAAAAGAGCTCCTTCTGTAGCATGTTAAGTTCAGAAACTTGAAGGATATAAAACTGATCATTATTACTTACCTCATCGCAGTATATTGTCGTCAGAGCTTTTTATGAATTTTATTGTGTACAAGTAATATGTTAATCAATTTTTATTGATATATATACATATATTAGATGTTAAATGCAATTTTACATATTACGACAATAAATCTTATTGAAAACCAAAAACTTAATAAAAAGTGCAAAACAGCATAACAATAATACAATAATAACTGGTAATATTAAGTGGTCGAACAATAACTCATACAATATTATCGTCCTAATATGTTAACAGTGTAATTATAATAATAAAATAAGGGTATATCATAATTATACTGCATAATAACTATTATATTATTATTTAATAACTGTTACATGTAAGTCTTCTGTTTTTTAAATATTTTTCGAACACAAAAGTACTATTTTAAAAATAACTAATATTTAATTTAAGTCTATATAGAAACGTTAAATCTTTTCATATTGTTAAATGGTTACTCACACTAATTACTTTTTTTAGTCTTTATATACTAATAGTTTATAAATTTTATAAAATTGTTTTTGTTTCTTACTGTATGTTGGGATTGTTTTTTTTTTTTATAAAAATTAATTTAATAAAGTTTTGTGAATTGCAGCACATGTTCAATCTGTTGCTAATTAATGATTGAATATACATTTAATAAAAATGTATAATTGGTTTGAAATACAATGCTTTTATGACTATAAGAAAATTATAAAACAAAGGTATGAATAGTTAGATTAAAATAAAACAAAATTTTAAATAATATTAGTCACAAATATCAATTTTTATTATTTAAAAATGATGTCGTTTTTAACACGCTTATATTAGTTTCACATGTATGTTTGTTTGTGTGTAACTCTTCACTCGCCACGTGTTATTGACAATGTTTTTCAATGACAAACAGTAAATACTGTATTTGCTCCTCTTGACTGTTAAAACTGTATTGAATGAAGAAATTGATGCTACTCTGCGTCATTCACAACTTTTCAAGATCAACTTTTTTTTTTTACTGTTAATAAATTTTTTGAATCCCATGTTCTTGGATCAGGCCTTAAAAAGACAATTTTAATACCAAATGCTTTAAATAATGCCGTATTTTTGCTTTATACAAAATCTAGTAATTGTTTTTTTGACAATTTATTTCTAATTAATTAATCTTTTATTTTAATATTAACTAAAATTTTCATCTGATAAAACCAAAATTAAATTCAATTAAGTTTTATTTGAGACTTTTCTATTAGAAAAAGATAAAATTACTAATATTGAGCTTCATACACAAATGCTAATAAAAATATTGAAGAGTAATTATTATTATTTCAAATATTGTTTATAGAAGACAAGTTGTTGGGATGTTTATTTTTTTATAATCATATAGTAATACATTTAATGCGCTTTAATTTAATTTAGTTTTGAATGTTGTAAGTGTTTTGTTGCTGTACTAAAAACATCAAAATCAGCTATTTTTACTTGCAATTTTAAAATTTTTGACTTGAATGGTCAGTATTTTTTTGCTTATTCAAAATTTAATCCTATTAGGTATAATTATATGTGAATTTAAAGAAGTCAAGTTCTCTGAAATATCAAAAATTGAAAAAATATATGTTGGGTGTTTTATTTATGTTCCCACAGTATTATTGTTGTAAGTTGGTTGGCAACAGGCGCTAAAATTGCTATATTGGGCTGCATATAGCTGGATACAACTTGTGAATATTTTTTAATAATATTATATACAATACACAGGAATCTTTATTGTTCTAGGGAAGAGTGATGACTCTACCATAACAAAATTCTTAGTTAATATACATTTTTGATTAATTAAGAAAAACAATTCTTTTAACTGAACTCTTGAGTTCTATTTATGAGCAACAAAAAGCTCTATAAGTAGTTCTTTATGAGCAATGTTTGTTATTATCATTTGGAGTTTAATTTTTAATAAAAAAAAATTATGTCAACATTGATTTGTTTATTTTTGTTGATCTAATGAGCAAAAGACAAAGACCTTTTAAAAACTTTACTGTTTAAACATTTTAGATATGAGATCATTCCTGATTGCTAGCTAAGTATTCATTGTAAGAGTTGTCTATGAAAATGTCCAACTTTGTAAAGTTATTTTAATACAATAACAACTAAAATATCAAATGTTTTAAAATGTTTTGGTAAATTTTTCTTTGTAGAAAATCTAGGGAATTTTTTTAAATTTTGATGGTAATAGCTTCAACTATTTACAATTTGTGATCTTTTGATATATCGCCGAGAAAAATTAATCTAGTAGAAGTTAATCAATTTAGTTTACTAACAAAAAAACACAGCAGAGTAAAACCCATAATTTCTTACCTATGCATTGAAACTAAAAATATATAAATGTTCATTTTAGCTTCTATGCGAAGCTGAGAAGGTATTAATTTTACTATGATGTGTTTTTTTTTTTTTATGTCTGTTGCCACTTTTTCTTAGCTCTCACTGGACCGATTTCTTTCAAAAATACGTCATAAGATCACAAATCGTATCTAGTTGGAGACATTACCCTTAAAAAATTGAAAAAAATTCCCTCGTTTCCCGAAAATGGGAGAAATATCCAAAAAAATTACAAATTTAAAAATCCGTAAATTTTGTCATTTTTTTTATTTTTTTTCTTAAAACTTCCATAACTTTTTCAAAAATCAACAAATCAACATAATTTTTTTTTATACTAAAACCTTAGATATTTTCCTTTCATTTGATATCATTTTTTTGAAAATCTATCACTTAACCAGCTCATTGGAGGGGATTTAAAATAGCAACTTTTTTACAAAAATTAACTTTTTCAACTTAACTTTTGAAAATGTTCTGGAAATACTGCGTCTTTTAAACATATATCAAATTAAAGCTTATTTTATGTACTACAAAATGAAAAAAAAAAATTTGTCCCGACACTTTTTCTTCTACATTTAAACGGCTGCCGTAGTTAAAAAAACACTATTTTTGTGTTAAAATTTTCGATTTTCGATTTTAAATTTTCAACTTAAAAATGCTATAACTTTTTGAAAAATGTATATATCAGCACAAATTTTTTTTTTCTAAATACATTATAAGTACATCTTTCATTTGACATACTTTTTATTATTTTAAATTGGACAATTTCCCCTTATATAGGAGGCGTTCAAAACTTGAAATATTGTAAAAAACGTAGATCTTTTTCAACTGAACTTTTGAAAATGTTCCGGAAATACTGCGTCCTTTAAACATATATCAAATCAAAGGTTATGTTATATACTATCAAATGAAAAAAAAAAATTTGTCCCGACATCTTATCTTCTATGTGCAAATGGCTGTCGAAAATTTAAAAAAAAATGTAATGTTTGCGATAAAAATTACATTTTATCGGGATGTTTTTTGTACTTAAAACTGCCATAACTTTTTCAAAAATGAACAAATAAAAATAATATTTTTTTGTATTGAAACCTTAGATATTTCCCTTTCATTTGATATAATTTTTTTTGAAAATCTAACACTTATTCTGCTCACTGGGGGGATTTAAAATAGTAACTTTTTTACAAAAAATAACTTTTTCAACTTAATTTTTGAAAATGTTCCGGAAATACTGCGTCCTTCAAACATATATCAAATTAAAGCTTATTTTGTGTACTATAGAATAAAAAAAAATTTGTCCCGACGACCTATTTTCTATGCGCAAATGGCTGCCGTATTCAAAAATATGCTATTTTAACAAATTTTTTTTTTATAAATTAAACACTATCTACAGATTTGCATCGAAGCGTTTTTTATGATAGTGATTTTAATCACTGTCAGATATCATCTATACTGGACCCAACTATGCCACGACCCCACTGTGCCGCCACCCCACAAATTTTTTATTTTATAAATTTATACTTAAATTATTTAATAAAAGAAGGAAAAATAATTATTATTTTTAGATGGGTTATATGAAGAACATCTTTGTGGAAGACCGCTGGGATTAACTTTTGATTCTAAAGGAGCCTTATATATTGCAGATTGTTATAATGGTATTTTTAAGGTCAATGTTAGTTCTACTGGTAAGTACCTTTATATTAAAATTAAATAAAAATTTATAATTTTATAAAATTATAAAATTTATATTAAAATTTATAATTTTATAAAATTATAAAATTTATATTAAAATTTAAGGTATTATTGATGTATAAAGTAAATATTAAGATAACATTCTAAGTAGTAAAGTTCAAATTAACCTGACATTTTAATTAAGCTTATTTACAAGAGCATAGCATTGCCAAATTTCGTAGATTCTTTGAATTTTGAATCTTCAGTTCATTATGTCTATACCATATAATATCCCTTTTGTATTCTTTTGTTCTATGCCAATTGATATTTATGATTTTGATAAACGTATATATAGTAAATCAAATTTTTCAAATTTTTAAACTTATGATTCTTTATTCAAACATCAGATATACATTGGTTACAGAGTCGATGTACATAGTACACATCATTTAAATTGATACAAATGATCATTTTTTTTGTATTTTAGATCAAAAAGAACATTTAGTTACAATGAATGATATAATTGAAGGAAAAACACCAAAAATACCCAACTCAGTTGCTGTAGCTTCTGATGGAACTGTCTATTGGACAGACTCTGATACAAACCATGCATTACATGATGGTATTTTTACAATGCTAGTTGATGGAACTGGAAGGTATTTTTTAATTTTGATTTAAACTATGATTCAGATAGAAAGAATTCTAAATATGATTTTTATTATGATAAAAACACGTACATTTAAAATTTTAAATTATTTATAGTGTAATATTAATATGTTTGAGCAATTGTTGATGATAGGAAATATTACTATTGGGTATATTTCCCCCTTTTTTTATTGATGATTAAATTCTATAATTTATGTTATCAATGCAAAATTAGTTTAGTTCATTTAATTTTCAACTTTTAACTTTTCAAATTTGAAAAAAAAGAAAAATGTACTTTACATGTCGCTGATACTATGTTTATGAAATACAATTAACATTGGTTTTTACAAATTTAAATGCCTAAAAAATCATTTGACTACACATGTGAAAAGTGGAAATTAAAAACGGGAGCAGTTTGTCTAAATCTATTTTATGCATATGAGGCAGTATGGAAAATGATCTACTATTCCAACTAGCCAAAATATTAATATGCAGGATGTGTTTATGACTCATAGATAACATACTGTCAGACAAGATATTTAAATTGCATGTAAATGAGAAAATATAAATTTCTACAAATTAACTTTCCTTAGGGTTCTGTATTATCTTCTATTTTATTTAATGTTTAAATTTTAGATACCACATATATAAAATCACAAAAATTTATGTATTCAGATTATGTGTAGGGTTTGTAGCTCAAATAGAAACTTGAAAAATTGGATGAAACACTAAACTATGTTATTATTATGAGTTCAAGAATATTTTCAAGTCTGGAATTTTTCTCAACTTAAATAAAACAACATCCTATTATGTTTCATAACAAATAAACAAACAGGAGACTTAACTTAGTGGTCCAGAATGTAAAAATTATGAGTGATAACATTCCAAAATACCTAGGAATCAAGTTGGATAGAACATTAAAATTTAACCAGCACAGAAAATGTTATTGATAAGTGAAAGAATAGCTGAGAAAAATGTAATGTCAATAATAAATATCTTATAGTAACTTTATATAAAGAGTTGCAGGTTTAGATTAATTAAGAGCTATATGAACTTCTTTAAATAGGATACAAACAAAACAGGGTAGAAGTAAATACCTACTACATAAGTAAAAAATACTAAGCTTATTGTGACTATAGACAAATTCATATTATAAGACATATTGTAGAGGAATGTATACGAACAAATTGTAAAAAAATAATAAATGCAAGGGAGAAAAATAGACAGTCAATGATTGTACAATCTTGAAATCCAATTTTGGATAGAGATAGAAATTAGTTACTATTTAATTTATCACATAATTATTGTTGTTTTTATGTTTAAGTTTAAATTCTATTTTTATGTTAATTTTGTATTTCCTCTAGTTTGTTTTCACCATTGTGCTATATGAAATAAAAAAAAAAAAAGCCCAAAATAAAACACAAATATACCAATGAAATAATAAATAACATCTGCATATGTGGGGTTAAAGTGGTGTAAGTCAATTTTCGTTTAAAATGAGTGGTATCTCAAAATAATTATTTCAAACTTAACCAGGTACCTAGTACCATTCCCATATCATACCTCAATTTTATATAATAGTTTACTTAGGTATTAATATTTCCTTGAATATGCCACTTATGTGAATGGCAAGGATGTATTTTCAAAATGTAAGAATGTTGTACTAAATCTGACCTTAAAAGGTTATTTATTATTTATAAATAAAAATCTAGAGAGTACATAAACTACTAGGAATTTGTCAAAATTTCGAATTTTTTTTATTTTATTATAACCAATAAAAAAATTATCTCTGCGAAATTCAAGACAAATCTGATAACATTAAAACATGGCGATTTAATTTTAAAATTAGAATGTAAATATATTTTTTTTTCTATTTCTGATAACTTACCAAGTATTAAAAATACAAAAAGATGTTTGGAATAAGAAGTTGCATATTCTATAAAAAGTACTTTTAGTTTCAATAAGAAGCTAGAAGCCATTGGTTGTACTTTTCATTTTTTTTTTTATGTCTGGGAAGTCAATGTTTCTGCTCCCACTGAAACGATTATAAAAGAAAGAAGACATTTAAATGACTTTTACTATGAGTAATTGCTCTCTATATTTGATAGTGAATTAATTTTTGGGGTTTATTATAAACCTGTCTAACTATTTGAATAATACTTGGATCAAATTACAATTTTCAACAGTAAAATTTAAGACAAGTATCTTTATTTTAATATACTTTTTTTTTTAATATGTTTAAAAATCATGTCAAAACATTTTATGATAGTGTTTTTAATCACTGTCAAATATTAATTAATATTAATATCAACTTCACTTTACTTAATCCCAAATGTCTTTTACTTTTTTATTTTTTGTCTAAAACCAATATTTAAAGAATAAAAAGCAAAATATTGAGAAAATAAACATCTCAAAATTTCATAAAATAATTTTCTTTTGTGTAACTCAATTAATATCTTTGTTATGCACCAGAATTTATTATTAAAAATTAATTTTTACACTAAATTACAATAAATAATATTAACAATAAACCTTTTATTTAATTTAAAACATTTTACATTGTGTTGAAACAATGCTATGCACTTAAATTATTCCAAATAGTATTACTTAAAAAGAAAGTCAAATTTAAACATTAACATTATCAGATTAGTCTCAAATTTTGCAGGGATAATTTTTTTTAGAAATGCCAGTACTTATAAGAATTTAAAAATTTATCAGAATCCTGGTACCATTGAATATATCATCTAATATTTTACTTTATTGTTCACTAAAATTTCTGTTGTTTCAGATTAGTAAAATATGATCCTAAATCAAAAAAAAATACAGTTTTACTTAACAATCTACAATTTGCAAATGGTATTGCATTGTCTGATGATGAATCTTTCATTATTGTAGCTGAAACTCTTAAATTTCGCATCCACAAGTAATTTATATTATTAATTTCTTTATATTTATTATTTAATAATAACACAAATTCAACAGATATTATCTTAAAGGACCTAAAGCTCAAAAAAGTGAAATATTTGTTGATGGATTACCAGGAATGCCTGACAATTTAAAGTCAAATAAAAGAGGTTCATTTTATGTTCCACTCGTGATAAGCAGAACACCATATCTTGATGATATTGGTAGCTATCCAAATTTAAGAATGATATTTGCAAAATTATTAGGAGTATTAGATTTTACTCTTCAAACTATGGACTTTTATTATCCAAACATTTATTTTAAAAAAGCTTATCACTGGGCAAGTATTATTTTTCTAAATAAATATTGATTGAAAGTGTTTTTGGAAATTTAAAAATTAAATTCTATAAAACTTTAATTTTAAAACTCTTATGTTATTTTAATATGTTTCTAATTCTATAATAGTTAATTTATTTAATTATTTTTCTTCAGTTTTCTTTTAGGAAATATTTTACACATAGTAAAGGATTAGAAACCCTATTCATTTATAATAACAATGGAAGTTTAATTTTTATCTTTTTTATTTATTTAATAATTAAATAGTTAAATAAATTAAAAAATTATTTTATAATTAAAATAAATTTATTTTATGTATTATAAATTTACAGGTTGGTCATTTTGAATCAATTTCTTTTCCAAATAAAATGCTTACTATTCTTAAAATCAATGAGAATGGAGTCATTACATCAAGCTTTCATTCAACCAAAGGTGATATACTTAATATCTGTGATATTGAAATTGTTGGTGATAAATTATATCTAGGATCTCCATTTAACAACTATTTAGGAGTGGTTGATTTGCCTAAAGATTTTATTTGAAATGTGTAATTTTTTTTTTTAATTAAACATTTTCTTATTATTTATACATATAAATGATAAAATAAATAATAATATATTATTGTGTTAGGTTATATTTTCAAAAAATTTTAATTTTATATTTGTCTTGTAAAATATTTAAGTTTAATTATATGAAAAATTTATGTTTTGAATTTTAATATATTTAATTGGACTATTTTTTGCTTTAAATATTTGCTATTATAAAACAAAAAAACATATTAAATTTAATTTTATAAGAAAAATAAAGGTTTTTAGACATCTGAAATTTTTTTTTTATTAATATTTTTTAAATTAAAATTATTTAACTGAAAAATCCACAAAAAATAATATTGGAAACAATATGTCTATCAGTATTAAATATTTAATGACAAAAATAAGAACAAATGTCAAAAATATGACAAATTTTGAGAAGAGTAAATTTTAAAGTTAATCAAAAACCTCTAGATCAGTAATTTGAAATTTTGTTGTAATTTTATTATTGGTAAGATCCAAATTTAGTAAAAAATTAATAAAATTTCCTTTTTTTGAAAAATAGTAATAATATTTCTTTTAGATTACCTAAGTCTTCTAATAGTTACGTAAAATTGAAAAAAAGAATTTTAGATACAGAAGAGTTAAATATATTTTTTTGTCAAATTCGAATAAGATATCAGATAAATCATTTTAAAAATATACGAAGAAATAAACATTCTTAAAGAACATAATTCTTTATTTTATTTTTTTAATTAACGCACCAAAGAAAATTAACTAATGATTACATATTAGTAATCACGTGGGATAGTGCTAAATTTAGAACATAGTTAAAATTGTAATATATTGCACTATAGTCTATTATTATCAAACTAATTACACAAGCTACTTATTAAATTTTTAACTTTGAATACTATAACCAAAGTAATATACAATATCAATAACTTATAGAAATGTTGGCTTCAGTGTTTATTTAGTGGTTAAATTGTCGAATTGTTTTTTTATTAACAATAACGTACGTTTAAAAAATCTATAATTTAATGTACTTTACAATTTGTCAGACCTCTCAAAACAATTAAAAAAAAAAAAACATAATATCTCATTTCGGGATCGATTTTTTTGTGTTAAAAAGTTATTTTAATTATAATCCTAGTACGCCTTTTATTATTGTTACATTTCAGCTTTTAGGTGTAGCTGAGAATCAATTGGTTTTACTCTGCTTTTTTTCTGATGTATGTGAAAACTAGAATATATTTTGTCTTAAAATTAACTATATATTTTTGAAAGATCAAAAAAGTTAAAGCAATAACCTCATTATCTAAGTAAATCTATTCATTGTTTATCATATAATTTATTAATAAATGATTTTTAAAGTAAGAACATTAAATGTAGTATAGATGCTTTCGATAATCATGGTTACAGTTAATCATCTTAAGTGGCTTGTGTATTAAAGCAGTATTTATAGACATAATATTCGATTGGCGCCGTTTGGGGTGAGCACACCCACTCGGTTAGTCTGTATATCAAAACAGAGTGGTGCGCGCGTCTCGTGGTAGTTATCAGTACTACAAATACGGTGTCGATTGTTTCATTTTTTTTTTTATTATTATTATTAGTACTATCATTATGACTTTTATCGATTAAAAGTACGAAATCGATTGTTTTTTTGTTTTGTTTTACTATGGATGTGATAACGCAGATATGACGTATCGCCAGCAAACCGTAAAACAAACCCGTGTTTTCTATTCCTTGTAGTTACGTAAATGGTACGCTTTATTCTTAAACGAAGCAAGTAAATATTGTGTGTAGTATCACTATCGATTGTAGTTTCTTGATACTACAGTTAGAGAAAAATCGTTTTTGCTGCCTTAGTCCTGTGTCGTACACTCACTATATTACACGACATACAAACACTAGCACATTAGCACTCTAACTGATCTGTGGACTTTAGTATTATAACATGTATGTTATTTATGTATATATAAACGTTGCGTGCGCGATTGTGAATTACATCGAATAAGGATGTAGTAAAGATAGTTTGTGGAGTCTGATGATGAAAACGGACACTCGCGTTTGATCTGACGGCAAAAAATTCTATTATCAATTCAAAGGCGGCGGCGACGGTCGTCGTTAGTACATTGCTACTGTGGAACCGATCATTAACATCGGGCATTGTTAGCTGAGACAGTATTTCTAGCGTTCTAATAATAATAATAATAATATTATTATTATTGTTTTGACGATGTTGTTGCTCGTATTTCAATTCATCTGGTATTGGTGCTGTTAACTTCTTGACACCTAGCCTTAAGTCGCCGCCACTTAGTCAAGTATTGTGTAAATGTAATAAATAATTAAAAAAATTAGTTAAATAATGTTTTTTGTGACGTTATCACTCTACTGTTGTATTATGATCTGTAAAAATTGGTATTGATGATGGAATAAAAATTGCTAAAATGAGTGGAATAGATAAAAAAGAAGATCCAGGTATTGGTGCTATTGGTGAAGTTCATTCAATTCCTACCATGGATCAGCAGTTTACAGGTACAATTCGTATCAAACTGTGTGAAGCATCTGGATTGAGACCAACTGATCTACAAACACGTCTTAAAAATATGTCATTCCTAAAACCTGAAGATCCATTGCTTGATGCTTATGTTAGCATAGATGTAGATGATAACATCCTTTTACGGTCTCAGACAATTCCTAAGACTTATGACCCTGTATGGAATGAGTATTTTACTCAAGATGTGCATGAAGCAAATAAATTGGGTTTAACTGTATTTCATGATGCTGTTATTGAAGATTTATTTGTTGCTAATTGTAAAATATCATTTAGTGAGTTGATACAACGAGAAAAATCTGAAGATCAAGAATTTTGGGTATGTATATATATATTTTAATTAAATAGTTATTTAAATGATTAAACGATTCATAGAGTACTATCTGCTCTTTGTAGAAAAGATAATGACAGTTCTTGTTACTTTGATTGATAGAACTTAAGTAATAAAAACTGATTCCAAGAAAATTTAATTAAAAATAGTTAAATTACATATTTTTAATTTACAAAAATATTATGTGCATTAGAGAAACTAATGCATTTGCATTACCTAAAATTAATTTGTAGAAAAATACATATTTTTTTTTAATACAGTTGTTTTTTCAATTAGCCTATAAAATTAAAAAATGGAAATAATAAATTTTCAAAAATTACTCTTTTATATTATCTTTATATATTTACATAATTGTATTTTGCCGACCCCAAGTAGTTGGGATTAAGGCGAGGAAGAAAAAGAGTATTTTCTAAATAAATTTTTTTTGTTAAGTTTATTAAAAATAAATAATTAAAATTTATTGATACATTCTGTAAACAAAATTTCCTTCAATCTTTACTATCTTACTATTTTAGCTCATTTTTCTAAAGATTACCTTTACATTATACTTTGTATAGGCACATATAGTAAGTGCTTTAGATACTCAGTACTTCCAAATTTTGAAAAATTATATTCATGATTTTATAAAAATATTAATGAGTGAGAAAATTTCATTGAGCATTCCCATAAATGTACTATTTGTACCTTTTCTCCTAACTTGTTTTTTAGCAATGAATTATCTCATAAAGTTCTATATAATTATTTATATTGATATAGGTATTTAAATAAATATGTAAGGGTATTTTAATTAGAAATACCATTTCAAACTCTTATAAATAACAAAATATATTAACTGTGAACCAATGCCTATGATGCCACAGTTATATATATATATAAATACCATTTTAATAATATTATTTAATGTAAATAAAATTCATACTTTAAATTATACTTCTAGACTCTATGTCTGGTTTATTTAAACATAACAAATATTCTTTTTTTTTTTTTAATATTTAAATTAAAATTAGAGTAAAATATTAATTTTTTTGTTAATGTATATTTATGTATTTAAAGTAGTAGATTATGACTTGTTCAATTGATTAAGTAAGAGTGGGTCAAGTGAACATATCCTATTTCTATGTTTCGTTACATTTTTGTTTTCTCTTTTACTACAGTTCATATTGTGTTAAAATTTATGTACACTCTTATTAATGTTTCTTAGTTTGGAAGTGATACATTTTCCTAGTATGATTGCTACAACTCTGTTATTTTATTTTTAATTTCATGTATTGCTTCAGAGGTGCTAATTTGACTTTGATATTTAAATTATTGATTTTTGCTTGTTTGCTTGTTTGCAGCTACAAAAACTTTTTTGTTATTGATTATCTAACAATATGATGGAATCCATATGAAGGTTATTGGTTTGTTTGAGTTAGAAGTGAGTTCTTGGATTAGTTTGTTTTGTGGAAAATATTTTTTTTTAAGATAAAAGAGCATATGATCACTTATGATGATAGCGTTTTCTTTAGGTAATTTGAAAGCTTCATTTTTTTTTCCTTTATACAAGACGTAGAATTCTACAGTGTATATGGAAAAAATTGGGTGCTAGAGTAACTGAGTAATTTATGTTGACTTCAGTAACAGTAAAACCTACAGCTTTAGATGTATATACATTTTCTAATAAAAATATTATGAACATAATAAAAAATCTACATATAACAGTGGCACAACCAGAAAGTTAGGGGTATTGAATCTTCCCTTTACTGGTAATTATAAGTCATGTTTGGTATAGATCCCCATACTGCGTAAAAAATATATTTATTAGATAAAGACAGATAATTAATTATTTTTTATTTTATCTTATCACAAATGTTTGTTTAACATCTTGCCATTTCTTTAAACGTTAACATTTTAAAGAAGAAAATTTTTATCACTTATATAATATTGATACTATAATTTATAATTTTAAATTTAGTTCAGAATACAAATCTGGATAACAATTACCCATAATAACTGTTGTCCATTAAACACTTACTTATTACCTTTTTTTTTTGCTCATCATACAATTTTTTGTTCTACATTGTTATTTAATCAAATTCAAACATTGTTTAACATTTTGGGGGGTTATAGCCTTCTAATAATCACCTTGGTTGCATCATACTCATGAACCACTTAGTTAAACAGTTTTTTCTGAAAATGAAAATTTATAAATCTGAATTAATTAATTATTTAATAGAATTATATAACTATTATAATATAATTATATAATTTCTATATTATTAATATAGTGTTCAAAAAACTTGTTATCCTTGAATATAATTCTCTGACATCATTTTGCTATAATTAGTATACTTCCTTTTTAATTTTGATGTGAAGCTAAGAGATTACTGGTTTTATAATTATTGTTTTTTACCAACATAAATACTTAGACATAACTGATAAAACTATTAATATGTTAAGAGAATAAAAAATGATTTCTAATCGTAATATTAATCTTAAAATTTAAAAATATTGCCCATAATCTCTGCATTTAGAGAACATTATCATGAAAAAATAAACATCTATTGTAAAAATAAGCTGGATTTGGATATTTTTTTTATTGCTAAAACTTTGAAAAAAGCATAGATCAAAACGAAGTATTTTTTATAAATACAAAATATATTATTCTTCAGGTACAAGGATGTAGTAGTCGTGTTTATTTTTAGGGACAACCAAGTCAATTTGATCAACTGACTTACATTTTAACATTTGTTTAACTAAAAAGTTTTTCTGTCGACTTAGGTAATTTTTATTCATGTTGAAATTATCAACAATCGGGAAACGTGTGAATAATCAAATTATCTTTATGCACATTTGTATTCAAGGGTTTTGTGATGATGATTTTAACTTAATATGTTTTAGCGCACTCATATGGTAATATAAAAAAATTTAATTACATTAAAAAAAAATAAGATTTGGGCTTCGTGGATTAATCACTGTTTGAAACTTTAACGTTGAAAATGTATAAAAAAATACTTTAGAATTTAGTAAATGTAGTAAAAGTATAAAATTTCATGATAAGGTTACATTAGTTTCTTAGGAATTAGATATATTGTTTTAGGATAGTTTTTTAAAATTAAAATATCGTCTTTTTTATTTTGATTTGATGTAATTAAAGGGGATATTTAGGATAAACTAAAAATTCAACTAGTCATGCTTCATTATTTTATACCGAATCATTAGAGCAGCTCCTTCCTGTTTTCGTTGATAATTATATCTGTACAATTGAATGTCTTTACTCCAATTTCGAAAAATGACGAGACTTTGATCTTAGAGCGAATAAAAGTGTTTATATTATTCAGTTATCTTTTTTGTGCGTACTCTTGAATTTTACAAATATAGTAGAATATTTCATATGAAAATTCATTATTAAACTTATTTAATACGTTTTATTTTTGAGGAAAAATATTATATAACCCTTGTGTAGATAAGTTTTTATTATCTACATTGTTCAGACACTAATTGAAATTTTTTCTAAAGTAAGGATACTTAAAAGCATTTAATCCTATGCATGTTGAACATTTTTTAGTAAATACTCTATATATGTTCTAAAAAACAGGTCTTGAAAATCAAAATTTATCAAAATATTACTCAAGAAACAAATTTTGTCGGTTATATGTATATTTTTAGAATGTTTAGATTATTTCATAATAATTATTATAAATTTCTCAAAACTTTTTAATTGCATTTTCATTCTAAGCGATTGTTCTTGCACATAGTCAATGTAACATACGAAAATAACATGGGGCGTTATTTGGGGGTTGGCACTTAAATATTTGCCCCAGTCTAAATTTTAGTGATAACTGGGTCGATTGATCCGTATATTTGCTGAACGCAGGATACTTTGAGCAAGCCCGTTCCTCGTTAAAATCTAATTTATAATAATCTAAGAAATGTAAAAACAATGAATTTTTATTCGATAAAAAGAAACCCCATTTGAACAAACTCTCCCTTTTATCTATAACCATAATCAAATTTAACATAGATTATTACTCCATCGTTAAATACAAAACATGTAATTCAAACAATTCAAGCCTTAAAATATAATAAAAATATTTCTAATTATTTTGTATATAATGTTTATATTTTAGTTTTTAACATATCCAAAAATTGTTTGTATGTAATCTTGAAATCTATAAATTTAAGTTGAAGGAAATAATTATGTTGATCCTGTTTTTGGCACTGCGATCGAAAAATTTCAGTTTTCGGCAATTTTTCTTGTATTTATCAAATTAGTTTATCTATATCAAATTTTTTTTAGTGCCTGTTGAAAAAATAATTACAAAAATCAAAAATATTATATGATTACCTTTCAAACCTTAATGGACTTTAAAAAAGTTTCAATTTGGTTTTTAAGCGATTATTTCTTAACACTTACGGTTTCAACGATTATTTATCTTACAAATTTTTGAAAAAAATGTTATGTAGGCCAACTAACTTATTTAATATGGTAAAAAATGTTGAAAAACCAAAATCATTTCAGTCCTAACAGCTGCGGCTAATAAAGTTTTTACTGAATTTTTTTATACAATTGATTGATATATATAATTTTTTCTTATAATTCCTAAGAACCTTTTATAGAAAATTCTTTGAACATTTTTTATTGGTTATTGTTAAAATGATTTTAGAAAAAGTTTTTTAATGTATATATAAAATGAAAGGCACGAGTAGTTAGGAAATAAACTAAGAGTGAAGTTAGCGGCTTTGTAAGATGATAGATTGTTTAAAAATTTGCCCATTCTAGTGAAATCCGAAATAGAATCTTTAGAAAATAATAGTTTAATTTCTAACGTAAGAGTCAAAATATTTGCAAAAAATTTATTTTTGAAAAAATAGTTTGTTATTTTAAATAACATAATTTATACTCTTAATGTTGTCTTTTCTCATCTTTTAAATAAGGTATATAGTAGCTTTATATTAAAATTGTTAAATAGATTATCACTTTATACTTAACGGGATACAGTAAATTC